CGCCCGCCCGCCCGCCCGCCCGCCCGCCCGCCCGCCCGCCCGCCCGCCCGCCCGCCCGCCCGCCCGCCCGCCCGCCCTCCTTTCCCTCCCTCCCTCCCTTCCGACCGCCCGCCCCCGCCCTCCATCCCCTCCCTCTCTCCATCCGTCCCTTACTCCTCCCTCCTCCCGCATTCCCTCATCCCTCCTCCCTCCTCTCTCCTCCTCCTCATCCCCATCGTCCCTTCTCTTCCCTTCCCTTCCCCACCCCCCCTCCTCCCTCTCCCTCCCTCCTCCCTCCTCCTCCTCCTCCTCCTCAGCCCCTCTCCTCCCTCCTCCTCCTCCTCCTCCCTCCTCCTCCTCCTCCTCCTCCTCCTCCTCCTTCTCCTCCTCCTCCTCCTCCTGCCTTCATTCCTTCCCTTCCGTCCTTCCTTCCTGCCTCCTTCCTTCCATCCTTCCATCCTCCTCTTCCTCTTCCCTCCTCCTTCCTCCTCCTCCTCCTCCTCATCATCATCATCCTTCTCCTCCTCCTCCTCCTCATCATCATCTTCCTCATCCTCAGATTCCCCCCCTCCTCCTCCTCCTCTTCCTCCTCCTCCAACTCGTCCTCCTAATCCTCCTTCTCCTCCTCCTCGTCCTCCTCCTCCTCCTCGATGTCTCCTCCTCCTCCTCCGCCTCCTCCTCCTCATCATCATCCTCATCCTCCGCCTCCTCCTCCTCGTCCTCCTCCTCTTCTTCCTCCTCCTCCTCCTCCTCCGCCTCCTCCTCGTCCGCCTCCTCCTAGTCTCTACTCTCTACTCTTCGTCGTCCTTCTCAGCCCCGTTCTACCTCTGACCTGTCCACACTGTATTCCATCCCCTTTCCCCGAAAGTAACGCCTCCCAGTCGCAGCCCCAGACGTGTTGGCAGGGCGTGCCGGGCGTTTCGCCCGAGACGTCCTCCCAATATCGATCCTGGAGATTGGAATCTGCAACGAATTCAAGGATGCAGGGCTGGTGCTTTTCAAAATATACCTCTCGTCTTACTGGCGCGCACATTCATTGACAAAATCTGCAACAGCTTCAAAGATCGAGGGCGGATGCTTTTCAAAATGTGGCTCTCGCCTTACCACCACGCACATTCGTTCGAAAATTCTGCAACAAGTTTCAAGGATGGGGAGCAGGACCTTTTCAAAACATGGCTCTCGCCTTACCGCCGCGCACATTCATCTTAAAAGCTTGCAACAGCTTCCAGCATGAAGGTCTGATCCTTTTCACATGTGGCTCTCGCCTTACCGCTACGCACATTCGTCTGAAAAGCGTGCCACGGCTTCCAGCATGGAGGGCTAACCTCTTCCACTTGTGGCTCTCGCCCTAGCGCTACGCACAATGGTCTAAAAACTCTGCAACCGGGATTCGCAGGGATGATGTCCCAGGAATGGTGTTCTGGCACGACTCAGAACTGTCAAGACGCAACAGTCTTGTATGTTGATTCGCGGTGTTGTAGTCCCAGGACTGGCGTTCTGGCACGATTTAGGATTGTCAGTCCGCGACAGTCATGTCGATCCGCGGCGTTGAAATCCCACGAAAAATATTTTAGCGCGATTGAGGACTCTCAGCGGGTTGTCTTTCAACGGATCACTTCCCGCAATGAGAATCCACTCTTGTAGGGACGTGTAGAACGGGAACTCGGAGGGTCCTGCAACATCGTTGATGCGTCTTGGGTTTACACCGGTCCACCTGCTCCTCCTGTTACTCATCCTCCTCCTCTTTTTGCTCCTTCCCCTGCTCTACCTCCTGCTCCCCCTCTTGCTTTTCCTCCTCTAAATCGTGTCCATAGGGCCAGCCAGGCATTTCGCCTGAGACGTCCTCACCATTCATGATCCTGGAGCTTGAAACGTGAAACTGTTTCACTGATGGAAGACAAATCGTTTTCAAAATGTGGCTCTCGCTCTAGCGCCGCGCACACTCGTCCAAAAAATTCGCATAAGTTTCACGGATGGAGGGCGAGTGGTTTTCTCATGTGGCTCTTGCCGTACCGCCGCACACATTCGTCAGAAAAGTTTGCAAGATCTTCACGGATGAAGGGCGTGTGGTTTACAAAATATGGCTCTCGCCTTAGCGCCGAGCGCAATCCTCCCTGTCGCACCCCGAATCGTGTCCGTAGGGCGGGCTGGGCATTTCGCCTGACACGCCCTCACCATTTATGATCCTGAAGCTACATTTTGCAGCAGATTCACGGATAGAGGGCGGATCCATTTCAAAACATGGCTCTCGCTCCAGCGACGCGCACATTCGTCTGAAAACTTTGCAAGGGTTTCACGGATGGAGGGCGGGTGGTTTTCACAATGTGGCTCTCGCCTTAGCGCCGCGCGCATTCCTCCCTGTCGCACCCCAAAACGTGTCTGTTGGGCGGGCCGGGCATTTCGCCTGAGACTTCATCACCACTCATGATCCTGAAGCTTATATTATGCAGCAGATTCACGGATACAGGGTGAGTCGTTTTCAAAACGTGGCTCTCGCTCTAGCGCCGAGCACATTCGTCCGACGTGTTTGCACGTGCTTCACGAATGGAGGACTCCTGCAATGAATATGCATCTTGTATGAACTCATGGAAAGGGAACTTGGAAGGAGGGCTTATTGCAACATCGTTGATGCGTCTTGGGTTTACACTGGTCCTCCTCCTCCTACTCCTCCTCGGGTCCGTCGCCCTCGCCGTCGCCGTCGCCGTCGCCGCCAAGTACGAAGGACGAGGACGGGCACACTTCGAAGGACGAGCAGCACGCTGTCACTTCGTGGGCACCTAGAGGACGGGGACACTTCGAGAGACGAAGGCGAGCAGGCTGCCACTTCGAAATGAAAGACAAAGACGAGGGCGTTGACGGGGAACACGGACGGGAATAGGGCACGGCGGCAGCGGCAGGCCGCCACATCAGCAGGACGAACTGCTGCCATCCTCAGTCGCCCTCGCGTCGTGAAGAGTTCGACACAGCAAGTTGTCTCAGCCATGTTCAGCCACTGGGGGCGCCTACCCAGCCGGAACAGTGACCAAAATGGGGGCCCAAAGAATATACACCGCCACCACGTCGATTCCTCCTCTCTCCTCTTTCCAGCGAGAGGGAGGGGGAGGGAGGGAGGGAGGTGGTGGTGATGGTGGTATATTTTTGGGCCCCCGACAAAACTGTGGGGGATGAAGAACCAGCCCCGAGGACACAGCGCACGAGGCTCCAACGAGGCGACCACGGGCGAGGACCAGGCAAAACAACTGTGAGCACCAACCCGCCGCACGAGGAGCTTGCGAGGCGCCCGCGAGCGCCCACGGGCAGCCTCGGTACACCCACCTGGAACGAGGCTCCCACAAGGCGCCCACGGGCGCTCAAAAACCAGGCCCCAAGCCGAAAATCTGGCACACCCACCCAGTTACCCTAAGCAGTATGAGTAGAAGCAAGAGCCCCACAAGTGTAAGCACTGCTTCGGGGGCAAGAGGACGCCCGAGGAAAATCGGTGCTTGTTTCCTCCTCGGGGCTTCGTGGTAGTCTCGTGGATGCTCTCCTGGGCATATTGTTAGGTTTCTCTTCGGAGTCTGGAGCTTCCTGATGGGAATCTGAAGGCACTTCAGAGCGAGCTCTGGGCTGGTTGGGCTACCCTGGGGCGACCTGGAAACAGTCTGGGGCCGTCTGACCCAGCGTGCGGGTATCCTGTGCCGTCTGGAGGCCCTCTCCAGGCCCTCTTTGGAAACCATGGCGGTGGGTGCTCGAAATTGCCCCCGATTGGAAGACCGGAGAGGGGAGGACCCGTATTTTAAAAGTGTGTATATATATATATACAGATATATCCGCCGGCCCCCTTGTGGGGCCACCAGGCTGTAGGCGCGAGGTTCGCAGTTTCCTGTACCAGTTGTAGCTTGTAGTTTCCAGTGTTACAGTTCTGCTTCTTGCTCGTTACTGTAAATAGTTGACTTGTTGCTGCTTACTGTAACTAGTTGATTGACCGCGCGAGGGGGGGGGAGGCCCAAACCAGATTTTTAGCACCCCCTGGGCGCGTTGTCTGAATTGCTGGGGGGGCTCGAAATCCACACCCCTCACGCAGATCCGCGGGGTCAGGGTCCAAAAACACATGGGATTTGCCACATTTCTGAAATTCGGTGCCACCCCTCACGCAGATCCGCGGGGTCAGGGTCCAAAAACACATGGGATTTGCCACATTTCTGAAATTCGGTGCCACCCCTCACGCAGATCCGCGGGGTCAGGGTCCAAAAACACATGGGATTTGCCACATTTCTGAAATTCGGTGCCACCCCTCACGCAGATCCGCGGGGTCAGGGTCCAAAAACACAGGGGATTTGCCACATTTCTGAAATTCGGTGCCACCCCTCACGCAGATCCGCGGGGTCAGGGTCCAAAAACACAGGGGATTTGCCACATTTCTGAAATTCGGTGCCACCCCTCACGCAGATCCGCGGGGTCAGGGTCCAAAAACACAGGGGATTTGCCACATTTCTGAAATTCGGTGCCACCCTTCACGCACATCCATCGCAAGGCGTGGTAACCCAAACTGCGAGAACTCCCTCGGCCCTTTAATCGCAAGGTGTGGTAACCAAGCCCGTAAACCATACACGTCTTACCAATCGCCAGGTGTGGTAACCCCTCTTGTGATCAGTTGGTTTTGCTGATTGCGAATCGGCTTCGCATGAAGTTTCGATACTGCTTCACGACAGCGCCAAGGCCTCATGACTTAGCTCTTCCATGGCCCATTCTCCGAGAGAGGGGGCCGGCGGCAGGGGGCGAAGCCCTTACGGATATATATATATATATATATATATATACACACACATAGATATACATGTGAATGTATACATATGCCTTGCAAACCGAATGGAACAGACTTCGTAGAAAATCATTGTGTATGCGATATGTGTAAATATAAGATGTTGTGATATTGATGCATAGAATTAGAGGTACTTGATCTAGAACGAACGTACAGAATGTACAATACACAAACAAAAAAGAGCGTTCCGAACCTTCCCCTCCTCCTGTAAACGGCGCTCCTCGCAGCGGCGAAGATACCGCAGAGTCGCCTTTCGCTGGCGGAAGAGCGTCTCGATGCCCTCCTCGAGGGTTTGCCTGAGCAAGAGAAAAAGCGCATCCGAGCCGTCGGGCCTTTCCAAAGTGCCGTCCCCTCCTCCTCTTCTTGGGCATGCTGAGAGGCGCTCATCGCCTCCGCCTCCTCCTCCTCCTCCTCCTCCTCCTCCCCCTCCTCCTCCTCCTCCTCCTCCTCCTCCTCTGGCTGGAGGGGAAGGAAGCGGGAACCATGACCAAAACTGAACGCGAAAACGTCGTGCCGTGTCGGAAACGGGGACCGTGACCAAGACAGGCATCGACAAGATTCCGCGACATCTTGGTCATGGTCCCCGTGCTTCTTCCCTCGATCCTCCTCCTCCTCCTCCTCCTCCTCCTCCTCCTCCTCCTCCTCCTCCTCAGCCGTGCCGCGCCCGAGCCGCCGTGCCTACGTGGCGCGCTGAAGGCGTTGTGACCGCCCACGAGCCGTCATACAGATCAAGTGCAGCCCAACATCATCAGCCATCGTGTGATGTTCGTCGCTTCCGCCTCCCCCTCGCCATCGTCCCCCTCCTCGTCCTCCCCCTCCTCCCCCTCCTCCTCCTCCTCCTCCTCATCGTCCTCCTCCTCCTCCTCCTCTTCCTCCTCCTCCTCCTCCTCCTCCCCCTCCTCCCCCTCCTCGTCATCCTCGTCCTCCGGGGAAGCAGGGGCGCCAGCAGCCGCGGCGCACTTGCCCACGGGCGAAAACCAAAGGGAGCAGCACCATCAGCTACGACGCTGGGATCAGATCGCGCAGGCGAGAGAGAGAGAGAGACCCCTCCCAAAAAAAGAGAGAGAGAGAGAGAGATATATATATATATAAAGAAAAAGCACCACAACAACAAAAAAAAAAAAAAAAAAAAAAAAAAAAAAAAAAAAAAAAAAAAAAAAAAAAAAAAAAAAAAAAAAAAAAAAAAAAAAAAAAAAAAAAAAAACGATGTCGCCAGCGCGAGACGGTAACCAGGAAAGACCGCGCGGGCTCGAATCTGGGCTGCAAAGCTAGTGTCGGTTCGCGCGGGAAGACTGGCGTTCCAGGGGTGTTCTCGAATCATAAGCTACAGTGCAGGGATCAAATCGTGCAAACATTTTACGTCGGCGGCCAGGCAGAGTAATTGCGCTGGCGACGAGCTGCCTCAAGGGAGGGGCCAGTGCAGCAGAAACAACAAACCGTGCCAACAGGCAGCTGGTGGCAGCGGGCCCTGCTGCTGCCAGACGGGGCGTGGACGATGCGGGGCTCGAGTTCTTCGTGCACGACGGGAGCGGGAGAGGTCCAGCAGCTGCGAGGCGGGGATCAGCTCTTGCGAGGATGATGACACTGCACGTGCTGGCGCTGCACAAGAGGCGACCGCGGGAGAGGACCGTCAGCTGCAGGACAAGGACCAGCTCTTGCCAGAAGGTAAGCACAACGGCAGCACACGACACTGCACACAGGGCGCTCGTGGGAAACGTGCATCGGCTACCATGCGGTGCTCGGCTCGTGCGAAGCGGGCGGGCGCGGGAGAGTACCTTCAGGTACGATGCAAAGAACGCCTCCTGCGAGAAGGCACGCAGTGCTTACCGGCATTGTACAGAGGACGACTGTGCAAGCGGATCACCAGCTGCACCGCAGGGGCTAACTCGTGTTAGATCGGGCATGTCCCCTAAAGGCGGATTTTGGGCGAAAAATCCAAAAATTGTTCGAAAGCCGGTTAAAGATAAACAAAATTAGTCAAAAATCGTCCCCAGACTATTTTGTTCTTATTTTGGGATATTCCTCCCGTAGAGTGACAGGCCCGATTTAAAGCTCGTGCGAGAAGGCAAAAAGTAGCAACAGATGCCACTGCACAGAGGGCGATCGTGCGAGACGAGCATCAGCTACAATGCGGCGGATGGCACGCACGAGAGAACAGCGGGCACCGGGAGAAGACCATCAACTGCACTTCAGGGAACAGCTCTTGCAAAAGGCACGCATTGGCAGCATCTGGCACTGCTCCTCCTCCTCCTCCTCCTCCTCCTCCTCCTCCTCCTCCTCCTCCTCCTCCTCATCCTCCTCCTCCTCCTCCTCCTCCTCCTCCTCCTCCTCCTCCTTCCTCCTCCTCCTCCTCCTCCTTCTTTTCCTCCTCCTCCTCCTTTGCCTCCTCCTCCTCCTCCTCCTCCTCCTCCTCCTCGTCCCTCGAACGATGTCGGCCGATCGTGGGAGCGGATCATCTGCTGCGGCGCAGGGGCCAGTCCATGTGAGAAGGCAAGCAGTGGCAGCCAGCTCATGCGCGAAGTGGTTGCGTGTCGGAAGGCGGTGAAGCAAGGCCTGGCCCGACGACCTCATACCCCGATAGGACCACGTTGTGTGAGTATGCGGGCAGTAGCAGCTGTGCATATCAGAGCGTTTAGTCAGAGCGGGGTGCGAGCGTAGCAGCGTGCAGAGTCATACCTCGTCAGCTCTCATGCTGGGATGAGCTCGCGTGTGACATGGCAGTGTACAGAGGTTTGCACTGAGAGCCAAGAGAAAGTTGGGTGCCCAATGCCGTCAGCTATCATGGAGAAGAAGTTAGGCTGGCACCGACCTAAGGAAGCGGTCTTCAAGAAGACCTTGCGTCTAAATGCCTGCGGTTAGGAGTAGGCACACCCAGAGAAGGTCGAAAACGAGGGGACGGACGGGGTGAGGAGCTCGAGGAAGACGAAAAGAGGACGAAGAATGCGCCACCACGCCCCCGCACGTTGGGGCGCGGTAGAATGCCAAGTGCTGCCTGGGAGGGTTCCTGTATTCTTCTGAACGACACCCCACGGCCCAGAAGGCTCAAAGGATAATCCTAAGACGGCCAAACAGGGGGCGTGTCCTCAGGTTCTTTGCCCAATCCTCTAAGCCTCAATCCTCACTCCTTAGGAGTCTTCAAAGGGCCCGGAGCCCGAATGGCCAAATCGTCTTGGCCTCCCGAGAGGGCCCCAAGAGGTAAAAATCATTGATTGTCCAAATGTTCTTGAAGGACTTGGGCGGTCTCGTCTTTTCGGCTTCCCGACGCTCAACGACGGCCCACGAGGTCCCCAAGATAGCCCAAGACGGCCCCAGAGGCCCCCACGAGGGCCCCTAAGACGGCCCAAGAGTGCTCCTGGACGGCCCAAGAGGCGCCCAAGACGGCCCAAGAGGGCCCAAACACGGCCCCGAGAGAGGGCCCAGATGTGGAGCCCGAACGGACATTTCGAGCCCTCGGCCCCGAGGGGTCCCAAGGAGGCCCCAAGAGGCCCGCAAGAGGCTCCCATGAGGCCCCCAAACTGCTCCCAAGAGGCCCCCGGGAGCACTCCGAAGAGACCCGAAGAAGCATCACTGAGAACTCTGAACCACAACCCATGCACGGTGGCGGGATGGGCCGAAGGCTTTTAGACCTGGGCCGGCACGGGAACGGAAAGAGCGCTGCAGGAACTTGCCCGAGATGGCTCATGGCACCCTTCGCTGTTGGGAGCCTTGGCTTTAAGAGCTCGTTGCGTCACCGCTCTCTGTTGGGAGCCCTGGTGTTCAGAGACTTTTACGTTGCTGATCGCTCTTGGGTGCCTTGCTGTTCAGGGCGTTTGACGAAACCGCGCTCTGGGGAGCCGTGATGTTCAGAGCTTACTACGTTACCGCTCGCTGCTGGGAGCCATGGTGTTACCTGGCGTTTCTGGGGCTTCTTGGGGGTCTTTTGGGGGCCATTTGGGTGCCCTTTGGGGCCGTCTTGGGGCCCTTTTGGGCCGTCTTGAGGCCCTGTTAGGCCGTCTTGGGGCGTCTTGAAGGCCTGTGGCCGTCTTGGGGCACTGTTGGGAGCCTCGGGGGGCCCTGTTGAGAGTCTCGTTGGGCCCCCATTGGGGCTCTCGTGGGCCCATTTTGGGGCCCTCTTGGGCCGTTTCGGGGCCCTATGGAACTGTCTTGAGGTCCTCTTGGACCGTGTTCGGACCATTTGGGGAGCCTCGTGGGCCGTCTGGGGACGATCTTTGGAGCCTCTTGGGCAATCTTGGGCCGTTCTTGGGCCGAACAGGCGGGAACCCCAAAAACTATCAACAGCTAAAACAGAAAAATTAATGAGTGTTGTCTCTGTGGGCCCTCTTGGGAAGCCTCTTGGAGGCCTCTTGTGGCGTCTCGGGGCCCCCTTGGGCCGTCTTGGAGGCCTTCGGCCGCCTTGGCGCGTTCCTTGGGGCCTCTTGGGGCTCTCTTGGGAGCCTCTTTGGGCCCTCTAAGGGTAGTCTTGGGGCTGTTTTGGTGCCCTCTTGGGCCGTCTCGGGGCCCTCCTGGGACGTCTTGAGGCTCTTGAGCCGCTTCACTCTAAAAAAAATTATGAATCGGCGTAACTATCGGGCCATTGGTGCCACCCTGGAGCCGCTTCACTGGAAAAATAGGAAGGAAGCTGGCCATCAGACTTTTCGCCCGCGCCTCGCTCCTCCCCTGGAACCCCTCCCTGGAGGGCTCCGCCCTACCAGAACGTCATCGCTCGTAACTCCAGGCTCTGTCTGCTATCCGTCGCCCCATGCTGGCTTCCCACAGGGGTGCCTGGCGTGCCAGACTTCAGAAAGTTGTCGGCTCTTGTGGAACTCCCCTTGAGATTCGGCCCAGCGCGCCGGCACCCCGGGAGGGACCGGAAAGCACCTCAACGTCGGGAAAAAGATTCCCCAAGACGGCGCAAGATGGCCTCCAAGAGGGCAAGATGGCCAGCAAGTTCGCCCAAGGGGGTCAAAGATGGTCTCCGAGACGGCCCAAGAGGGTTCAAGATACCTCCAAGTCCGCACAAGGAGCCTCCAAAACAAGCCAAGACTGTCCAAGACGCCCCACGAGGCCTGCAAGACAGCAAAAGAGACCTCCAAGAGTTCCTCCAGGATGGCCCGAAGAGGCCAAAATCCTTGTTTTGCCGTTGGTTTGTGAAGGATTTTGGCATTTGCCTCTTTTCGGCCTTCCGACGAACCAAGACGGCCCAAGAGAGCCCCAAAATCGCCCCAAGATGACCCCAAAGGCCTCCAAGATGACCCCATGACGGCCCAAGAAGCCTCCAAGACGGCCCCAAGAGGGCCTCAAGACGGCTCAAGAGGCC